GAAAAAATTATAAAATTTTAATGAAATATAAACAATAAAAAAAAGTACCAAATGAGATGCCTCCTTAAAATGCCTTTAATTTTTATTATAAAATCATGTAAAAACAATTAATATAAATATTAATTGAAACAAACTTGTAAATTGTAAAAGAAATAAACTAATAAGATTAAAATTAAAGGAAGAAAGAAAATGAGAGAAATTTAAGGAGATGAAATTAAAGGAAGGAATGTATGAGGAAAAAAGAATGTGAGAAAATGGAAGAGAGGATGGGAGGAATCAATGAAAAAAAAGGGAAAGTAAAGAAAAGAGAAGATGAGAAAAAGGAAGAAATGAAAGAAAATGATGGAAGTAAAGAGAAATAAGGAGGGGAAGTAATCAAAAGGAAGAGAAAGATGAGAAATATGGCTGTGGAAGGCGGAATGAAGGGAAAAGCAAAAAAAAGGAAGAAGGAAATGTGTAAAATACAGTTTAAAGTGCCTAAAGTGTTTTTATAGGGTTTAGACCATTTCAGTCAAGAATTTTGACCAAAATAGTTTTGGCAGACAATTCAAAATGTTTAACTTGATTCATGGAGCCAAAACATTAATTTCGGATAATAATTTTGACTGAAATAATTTTAACAGAAAATTTAAGATATTTCACTTAATTCTTGGAACCAAAACAATATAATTTCAATTTGGCATCTTGACCGAAATAGTTTCATAGAAAATTAGCAAAATTTAGGAAAGAAAGTGCCATAGTAATATTATTAAAAAAATGAGACAATTATTTTGATCAAGATGCTTGACAGAAATAGTTTTATAGAAAATTTTAAAAAAAATTACAAAAGAGAGTGCAATACTAATACAATTTAAAATATAAAAAAATTATTTCGGTTAAGATACTTGACCAAAATAATTTCATAGAAAATTAAAAAATTTCAAAAAGAAAGCGTCATACCAATACATTTTCTTTTAAAAGAGATAATTATTTCAGTCAAAATTTTTGACCGAAAAACATAATTAAATTAAAACAAAAATTATTTAATTAATTCTGTCAAAATTTATGACCAAAATACTTATTATTTTATTATCAATATAATTCAGATAAAATATTTAACTGAATTAATTATGGCATCAATTGACACTTTTATCTCGGTCAAGATTTGTGATCGAAATAATTTTAAACCAAATTATTATGTTAAATACATTTTAATTGGATTAAAACATATTTCGGTCAAAATACTTGACCGAATTAAGTTTTATTTCAGTCAAAATATTTTCTTGCCTGAAATATTTTGTCCAAAATAAAACCTTTTCTAGTAGTGTTAACACAACTACTGCTATATACTAGTGACTA